CCGGATTGCCTCCATGGCCCCGGGGGCTCTGCTGCTGGAGGCACAGAAGGAGTACGAGGTACATCCCCCCTTCTGGGGTGGGAGAGGGGGCATCCCGGGGGGCCATCCTGAGCTTTGTGTCCCCATTCCTGGGGATCCCCCATTCCCAGGGGCCCATCCTGAGCATTCCATGTCCCTGTTCCTGGGGGTCTCCCATTTCTGGGGGTCCATCCTGAGCATTCCATGTCCCCATTCCTGGGGGTCTCCCATATCTGGGGGTCCATGCTGAACTCTGTGTCCCCCATTCCAGGGAGTCCCCATTCCCGAGGGTCCATCCTGAGCTGCATGTCCCCCATTCCCAGGGCTCCATCCTGAGCATTCTGTGTCTCCCATTCCTGAGGTCCTCCATTCCCAGGGCTCCATCCTGAGCATCCTGTGTCTCCCATTCCCAGGGATCCCCCATTCCTGGGAATCCATCCTGAGTGCTCTGTGTCCCTCATCCCTGGGGCTCCTCCATTCCCAGGGGTCCATCCTGAGCTGATCCCTATCCCCTATTCCTGGGAGCCCATCCTGAGCTCCATGTCCCCCATTCCCGGGGTCCATCCTGAGCACTCTATGTCCCCCATTCTTGGGGGTCCCCCATTCCCGGGGGTCCATCCTGAGCTGATCTCTATCCCCTATTCCCAGGGGTCCATCCTGAGGACTCTATGTCCCCCATTCTTGGGGGTCCCCCATTCCCGGGGGTCCCCCATTCCCGGGTCTCTGTCTCCCATTCCCAGGGGCCCATCCTGAGCATTCTATGTCCCCATTCCTGGGGGTCTCCCATATCTGGGGGTCCATGCCGAACTCTGTGTCCCCCATTCCAGGGAGTCTCCCATTCCCAAGGGTCCATCCTGAGCTGTGTGTCCACCATTCCCAGGGCTCCATCCTGAGCATTCTGTGTCTCCCGTTCCCAAGGTCCTCCATTCCCAGGGGTCCATCCCGAGCACTCCATGTTCCTCTGCCCAGACATCCATTCTGAGCTCCGTGTCCCCCATTCCCGGGGTCCATCCTGAGCACTCTATGTCCCCCATTCTTGGGGGTCCCCCACTCCCGAGGGTCCATCCTGAGCTGATCTCTATCCCCTATTCCCAGGGGTCCATCCTGAGCACTCTATGTCCCCATTCTTGGGGGTCTCCCATTCCCAGGGGTCCATCCTGAGCTCTGTGTCCCCCATTCCCCGGGTCCATCCTGAGCACTCTATGTCCCCCATTCTTGGGGGTCCCCCATTCCCAGGGGTCCATCCTGAGCACTCTATGTCCCCCATTCTTGGGGATCCCCCATTCCCAGGGGTCCATCCTGAGGACTCTATGTCCCCCATTCTTGGGGGTCCCCCATTCCCGGGGGTCCCCCATTCCCGGGGTCCATCCTGAGCTCTGTGTCCCCCATTCCCGGGGTCCATCCTGAGCTCTGTGTCCCCCATTCCCGGGGTCCCCCTGCCCCATCCCTGCAGAAGGAGAGCCAGAAGGCCGACGAGTACCTGCGGGAGATCCGGGAGCAGCAGCTGCTCCCCGAGGCCGTGGGCCAGTGCATCGAGGCCGCGGGCTACGAGCACGAGCCCCACACCCAGAAATCGCTGCTGAGGGTGAGCCAGGGCGAGGGGGAGCAGGGGGAGGCCCAAGATCCTCCCTCCCTCCCCCCTCACACCTGATCCCACAGGCAGCTTCCTTCGGGAAGTGCTTCCTCGACAAGTTCCCCCCGGAGGGCTTCGTGCGGATGTGCCAGGACCTGCGGGTCCTCAACGCCATCCGGGACTACCAGATCGGCATCCCGCTCACCTTCACCCAGTATCCACAGCTGGGGGGGCTGGGATGGCGTCCAGGGTGGGATTGGGGCCGAGGGGCCTCTCCAGGGGGGATGGAGCCACTTGGTTCCAGGGCTGCAGGGCTGGGACACTCCTGGGAATCATGGAAAGGTCATGGCTGAGACCCCCCCCACTCATCACTCCTGGGAATCATGGAAGGGTCATGGCTGAGACCCCCACACTCATCACACTTGGGAATGATGGAAGGGTCATGGCTGAGACCCTCATGCTCACCACACCTGGGAATCATGGAAGGGTCATGGCTGAGACCCCCACACTCACCACACCTGGCACAGGTGCCCCATCCCAAAGCAGGGAAGCTCCCAGAGCCTGGGAAGTGCCTGGTGCTCCTTGCCTGAGCTCCGAGGGGTTTGTGATCCCCCATTTCCCTTGACCATCCCCACAGGTACAAACAACTCACCATCGAGGTCCTGCTGGACAGGTGAGGGGCCCCCTCCCAAGTTCCCCCCTCCCAAGTTCCCCCATCCCACAGTCCCCATCCCACCATCCCCATATCTGGGGGCTGAGCAGCTCCAAGCACTTGGGGGCCCCCCAAGCCCATCCGAGCTCCTCAGCTCCTCGTGCCCTCCGTGTGTGCCCCCCTGCCCCCCCGTGCCCCAGGCTGGTGCTGCGCCGCCTGTACCCCTTGGCCATCCGGATCTGCGAGTTCCTGCGGCTCCCGGAGATCCAGGGCGTGAGCCGCATCCTGGCGCACTGGGCCTGCTCCAAGGTGAGGGGGCTGTGCCGGGGGGCCCTGCCGGCGGGGGGGACACCGGGGCACACCCTGTGGGGCCTCCCCAGGTGCAGCAGAAGGACAAGTCGGACGAGGAGGTGGCCCAGGCCATCAACCAGAAGCTGGGGGACACCCCCGGGATCTCCTACTCCGAGATCGCCACGCGCGCCTACGACTGCGGCCGGGCCGAGCTGGCCATCAAGGTGGGCTCTGGGACAGGGGAGGGGACAGTGGGGACGGGGGGGGCACCCAGTGACCCTCCCCTGCCCCCCCAGCTCCTGGAGTACGAGCCGCGCTCCGGGGAACAGGTCCCGCTGCTGCTGAAGATGAAACGGAGCAAACTGGCCCTGGGGAAGGCCATCGAGAG